ATATGAGTTGATGTCAGTGCAAGTCGCTCCGCTCAGCCGAGCGGGGCCACACTTTACGTTTCGAAGACTGACTTGCGCGGTCGCGAGAGCATATGCGCATGGTGACTGTCAGTAGCATCTCGACCGAGATGCGCTCCCGTCCGCCCCCCCCCCCCACGCCCCCCCAGCCCCCCCCGCCTCCCGCCCCCCGCCCCCCCCTGCCCACTCCCTTTGCCCCACCTTCCGATCTTTCGCGCCATTCTTCTTTTCGCTTCCAATTCCAATGCCGACTCACTTGCTGGCAGTGGCAAAACCCCATTGCCCCAAACGAGAGCCACACCCGGCGGACAGCCGGCAGACACTGTGCTGCCGCTAGGAGTAATACTCCTCCCCAGTCTGTAGCGTGGAGTGGTGATCATGGCAAGCGAGTCGAATGCGGAACGAAGGGCCGAGGAGCTGGAGGTTATGGCGGCCATCTATGCTGACGACGGCGTGTTCTATGCAGGGGTGGACGGCGAGGCCGAGCTTGTTGTCCGCCCCGATGGCTGCGACGACCTGCCGCCGCTACGCCTGCGGGTCTCCTTCCCAGATGCCTACCCATCAGAGGCACCACCGCAGGTAGTGGCGCTCTCGGCGCCTTGGATTGAGCCGGCAGAAGCGCTGGATGTCCAGGCCGCGCTTGCTGCCGCCGCCGATGAGCTCGCTGGCGAGGTGGTCCTGCACGCCTGGATCGAGGTCCTCCGTGAGCATGCCGATGAGCTTGTCGACCGTGCGGTGGCGCGCATGCGCCTGCCCGGCACCGTCTCTGACGATCATGCCGAGCATGGTGGGAAGGGTGTAGCCGGCGGAGAAGATACCCGCGACGCCCGTGCGAGCATGATGGGCGGCGGCCGGAGCTTGGTGGTAGTCTCGGGCAAGCCGGTGTCGGAGAAGCGTTCCAAGTTTGTGGCACACGGCGCCCGGGTGCGAAGCATGGAAGACGTCAACGCGTTGGTCAACGGCCTACTGTGCGAGGCCAAGATCGCCAAAGCCACCCACAACATGCTCGCGTACCGGTTTGTGCCGCGCGGCGGCGGCCCGCTCAACGAGGGCCGCGACGACGACGGCGAGGGCGGCGCCGGCGACACTATGCTCAACATGCTGCAGACGCTCGGGGCCACCAACGTGGCGGTTGTTGTTACTCGCTGGTACGGCGGCGTGCACCTCGGCTCGCTCCGGTTCAAGATCATTGCCGACGTGACCAAGGACCTGGTCACCTCGGCCGGCTGGGTCGAGTCGGACGAGTCCGCGCAAGCGGCGGCCACGGTGACCAAGACCGATGCCGAGAAGTCGAGCGGTAACAGACTGCGGCCGTCGTGGGAGGTTCATGCACGGATCAAGCACGACCCGCATCTCGACTCGAATTCGTTTACCATCGGCTACGTCGATCGCTTCACCGGTGTCCAGGAGGTGCCGTTCGACGAGTTTCAAACCGAGGACGTGTACGCGTATGAGGGCATTCCTCTTCATCGCATCGTCTACTTCAAGCGCGACGGGGAGCTGGTGTGGGACCGCGAGACGCGGCTGGATCTTCTGTTCAAGGACTCGGGCGATCCGCGCGCGGCGTCGTCGTAAACGCGAACACAAGCAGCGCTGATCACCGTCGCGGCGGCCGCCACGTCGGCCCAGACGCCGACGACCGGCGGCCTCCGCGACCGCCAGGTCCGGCATTGGCAATCCGCCGCGCCGTCTCGTCGCCATGCTTGCGGCGCTTCCGGGCGCTGCCGCCGCCGGGGGCGCGCGAGCCTGAGCTGGGCGTCGTGGTGTCTGGGCCGGGCCGCTTGCGCGACGGCGTGATAGGGGACGGTTTGGCAGCTGATGAGGCCAACTTCTTGTTGAAACCACGGTACGAGCGGCGGCCGGGGATGCCGCGGAAAACAGATTCGACCTGCTCGCGGTGGATGCCCTGCGCCACGCCATGGGCCTCGCTCCGCCACTGGGCCGAGGCCATCTGCGCCGCCCGCGCCGCCTCCAACTGGCTCCGGGCCTCGCGCTCCTTTCCACGCTGCATGAACTTCATCTTGAGGAGATTAGATGACGGGGACGACATGGTTGTGTGTGTGTCTGTGTCTGTGCGTGGGTTGTGTGTGGGGTGTGTGGGGAGAGGAGGGGGCAGGGGGAGGGGTGTGTGGTGTGAGGTGGTGCCTTGATGGAGAGGATGGCCGAAATGCCAGTCATCCTTCGCCATCCGACGGCGGGCGGACGGCGGGCGGCGGACGGCGGGCGGCGGACGGCGGTGGGCGGCGGGCGGACGGCGGGCACTCCACTCGGCTGCATGTCGTCGTCGTCGTCGTCGTCGTCGTCGCTGTCACCTCCGGGCTCGGCGAGAGACGCCGGGGCGGCAGGGAAGGCTGACCATGGGAGAAGAGGTCAAGTAGGAAGCAAGTCTTCCGTCGCGCGTGGGTCAGGCACCTCCTATGCCGCCCGCCACCGCAAGGTACGTGCTGTCGGCTTTTGGCGCCAGAGAGCAGACCGCGCCGGTCTCCTCCCTCACACCCCTCCGCCTTCTCCTCCCCCTCCCCATCCCCCCCTCCTCCTTTTGAGGAATACTCACCATTCGCTCCCGTGGAGACATCTGCTTACAGGCCCAGAGCTTGGCGTCGAAGCGTGTGCCACCGTCGGCTGCACATGGCCGTGGCGCGCGTGGCGGCAGCAGTGGGCGGGCGCGGCTGCCGGCGCAGGCGCGTGTGATGGCCGATGACGGCGCACCCGAGCTGAGCCTCGGCGAGGCGCTGGCACAGCAGTCGGCCGGCTTTGATGTGGCGACAGGCAAGATCTCTGTGGTGGGAAAGTTTGTGACTAGCGTTGGCGGGCGGCTGCCCGCGGGCGCAGCACAGGCCGAGACGCTGTTCCTCTCCAGCAACTCGATTGCGACAGCAGCACCGCTGGCGCGGTTCCAAAACGCACGGGTCATCTCGCTGGCTAACAACCTTGTGTCGTCGTTTGATGATGTGGCTGCGTTGGCTGCGCTGCCCTCACTCAGTGTGCTCTCGCTCGAGGGCAATCCCATTGTCGAGCTGCCGCTGTACCGGCCTCGGCTTCTGCTCCTCCTCCCGCGACTCCGCATGCTCGACGGCGTCGAGACTTCTGCTTCCGAGCGCAAGGCCGCCGAGGCTGCTGTGGCGGCGTTCGAGACGACGTGGGACCTGCTGCTTGGTAATGCCGCAAGCGTGGCAAGGCTGGAGGCGTCACGGGCAAAGGCCGAGATGCATCTTGAGCTGGCAGCGCGCGGTGGTCAGCAGCTGGGCCCCGGATTTGAGACCGACAAGGTGCTTGCGCTCACTGGTGGCGACGCACGCGAAGGGCTCAGCATCGAGCAGGCCGAGGCGCTGGAGGCCGGAGTCATGGAAGCCGCGCTCGCACTCCGCGACGATCGACCGGGCCTCTCGTGGGGCGACGCCTTTGACGCTCTTCTCCTGCAGCAGCAAACCCGCATCCGAAGCCTGCTCGCAGAGCTCGACCAGGTTGCTTCCGAGACCAAGGCTGTTGCAGCAACGGCAAGCACATCGTCGACCTCGCTGGTCGAAGAAGCTGTAGCCGCTGCGGCCGAGGCCGAGGCCGAGTTGCGCCGCGAGCGCGAGCTCGTCATCTCCGAATTTGTAGCCACCGCTCGCGCCGCCGAGGTAGACGCTCCTCCGCAAGCGCCTCGACGCAAGCTGCAGACGAGTGGAACGTTGCCGGCTGCCCCGAGCGAGGGCAAGAAGCGCAAGCTCCGGCGTCCCAAGCCGACCAAGATCACTCGGCACAAGGTACGCGCCCAAGAGCAACTGGTGCCCGCGCGGCGCCCTTTGCCGATGGCTGCCCCGGAAGTGCTGTCGACGCCGCATGCAAAGCGCGCACCGCGGCCAGCGCCCCACCCTGTGGCACAACCTGTTCCACACCGCCAATCCCGCGCCGTCCCACATCTCACCGACGACAGCTGGTTCCGCGGAGGCGCACTGGGCGGCAGCCTGGCGCCACCCTCACCCGTCCCACCGCCTGTCCACCCCGGCCTTTATACGCAACAGCGACGGGTTGTGCCGCGCAACTCCAAGCCGCGACCCGAGCCGGAGCCACAAGAAGCGGCGCCAGCGGGCCCGCCGCCACAAGAGCCTTCTGCCGCTGAGGCTGAGGCGCTTGTTGCCGAGGTTGGACTGCTCCGCGATCGGTTGCGGAGCCAGGATAATCAGCTCGCCCAGCTTCAAGACGTCCTTGACGACGTGGAGGAGCGATACGCTTCCGAGCTGGCGGACGCCCGGTCCACGATACGCGAGCTCGAGGGACTGGTGGCATCCGGAGACGAGTCGGCCAAGCGGCATGCCGACGGCGTGGACGAGCTGCTCCGTCTGCTCTCGTCAGCGCAGAGTAAGCGCGTCAGCGATGTACTTCCGGACGCAATCCGGATCCTAGGTGGCGGCTACGCGCTCGCGTCGCCTGCCACCCCGGATGCAAGCTGCGCCACAGGAGTGGAGGCAGCGACCCAGACTGCAGGGTTTGCCGCCATCACCGAGGCGGAGCTCGACGCAATGATGGGCGAGCTGGAGCGAGTTCGTGAAGAGCATGCCACAGCAGTGGCGAGTCTGGAGCGCGAGCTCAAAGCGCCGAGGCTGGACGGATCGAGGCTGCTGCCCGGGCCAAGGATGCGATGGCTGCGGCAAAGACAGAGCTCAACAACGAGCAACAATCTAGGGCCAAGGTCGAAGCTCAACTCAGAGACGAGCAGACTGCGAGGAGCAAGACGCGCGAGGAGCTTGCAGCGCTTCAGGTCAAGCTTGACAAGGCTGTAGAGGGCGCCGCGGCACAGGCTGCGCGAGCCCAGCTCGAGATGGATGCACTGCGTTGTCGACATGCCGAGGAGATGGAAGCTGTCCAGGCCGCGGTTGCCGACCAGGTGGCGGCTGCAATCGTTCAGACTGAGCTGCAGCAAGAGCGCGGCGAGGAGGCAGTGCTGCATTTGGTTGAGAAACGGGTTTGTCGCCAAGCGTTTGCAACGTGGAAAGCCCGGACTGCCCAGTCTATGCGGGAGGCAGCGTGCGCGTCGCAGGTTGAGCTTCGGGCTCGGCGGCGCGTGCTGACGTCCAGGTGGCGGACATGGGACCATGAGATGGCACTGCGGCAGGCGGAGCGGTCAGTCGTTGTGATGCGGACGCTGCGAGCGGGAAGCAAGTGTCTGGCGCACTGGCGGCAGCGGACGGCTGCACGAGTTGAGGCTCGTTTCGTCGCTGCTGACATTGACTCGACCGATGATGTGCGCGCTGCATTGGAGGCGACCCAGGTCGAGCTCAAACGCATGCGTGTAGCGTTGGAGGAGGCCAAGGCGGAGGGCAAGGCTGAAGCTGAGCGCGTGCGCGTGGCTTTGGAAGTTGAGACAAGCCGCGTGCGCGCGGCGTTGGAGGAGGCGGATGCGGAAGTCAGCCAATTGCGTGCTGCGCTCGAAGCGGCGACGGCGGAGGCCGAGACGGCTCGGGCTGGACTGGCTGCGGCCGAGATCAGTCTCGCTGAAACACTCAGTGTCAAGAGCGACGGCAAAGATGCTGGCTCGGAGTTGGACGAAGCCGTGGTGCTGCGTAGTCAGCTTGAGAAGGCACTTGCAGCACACGCGCAAACCGAAGCGGAACTGGCGGTAGTGCGAGCATCACTGGAGGAGGCCGAGACCGACGCGGCGTCTGTACGGGCATCGCTCGCCGATGCCGAAGCAGCGCGTATCGAGGCCGAGTCACGCCTGGCTGTAGCCTCTGCGCGAGTCGACGAGAAGGCTGCACTGGTCGAGGCGCTTCAGAGTCAGTGTCGAGCCAGCAAGGAGCTGGCAGCGTCGGCTGAAGCTGACGCACAGAGTTGGCAAGCTGAGGCGGCGGTTCTTCGTGAGAGTGCGCACGAGGCAGCCCGGCTGGAGGCCGTTGTTGCCGAGCTGCAATCAACGGTCGAACGGATGGAGAGTGAGGCACGTGTGATGAGCACTGAGCTGGAGCGTTCTCGTGGACTGGAGGCTGAGGTCGCGGAGCTGCAGTCTCAGGTTGTTGAGCTAGAGACTGGCGCGACAAAGCTGACGAGGTCACACGACGACGACGGCGCGCTCTCCGAGCTGCGTTCCCAGTTGGACGACCTTGTGTCCAGCAATCGGGTGATAGAGACGGCTGCAGAGGAGCAAGTGGCTGCGCTCGAGGCCAAAGTCGAAGAGCTCCGGGCCGAGCTGCAGCAGGCAGGCGCTGATGTGGATGGCAACCGCGCAGCATTGGATCAAGCCGAGGCCGAAGCCGTTGCGGGGCGTGCGACTATCGAGAGGCTCCAAGTTCTCTTGGAAGTTCGAGAGGCGGATGTGCAGCGTTTGCAGCGTGAGCTCGAGCAGGCCGGCTCCGAGTCGGACTCGCGGGTGGAGTCCCGACTGGCGGATGTCGAGGTACTGCTCAGAGAGCGCCGAGAGGACGAAGCGCGCCTAGCAGCGCAGCTTGTGGCACGTGAGAACGAGCTGGCGGCTGCATCGCGTACCTCGAACGCTGGGGATGCCGCACAGCTTGCGGCAAGTGTGGCGCAGCTGGAGCGTGAGCTTCGGGACCGCGAGGTGCAGATCCACAAGTTGGAGCTAGTGGCTGCAGTCCGTGAGTCTGATCTTGCGCGGGCTCAAGAGCGGGTCGAAGATTTGCGTCACTCGGTGGGACAGCCAGGGCCACCTCCATTTGCGGGTGAGGCTGTAGACGCGGTACAGCTCCGCGCGGAACTGTTGCACTTGCGCGCGTATGAGTCGGAAGCAGCCGCGCTGCGAACGAGGCTGGCGGCAGCCGAGGGCCAGTTGTCGCGCGTAGACCGAATCGAAGCCGAAAATGAGCGGCTTCGACGACGAGAGCACGAGCTGCAGGCCGAACTTGCCGCGCTTCGAACCGTGGCAAAACCACCCACCACCAGCGACGAAAGCAAGGGGATGCAGGAACGCTTGGTTCGCTTGGAGGCGTTACTTGGACAAGGCGAAGCTAGCAGCGCCCAGGTGGCTGAGCTGACACGAAAGCTGGAGCAGAGCGAGGATGCAAGCCGAGTCGCCTCCCAATCGCTGTCGGAAGTGCAGACGGAAAATATCCATCTGAAAGCGCGCGTGGCCGAGCTCGAGCGAGTCGTTGGTCTGGAGCGAGGGCATGTCAAGTCGCTCAAGGAGGAGCTGGCGACACGTGAGTCGGATGTGCGGCGGCTGGAGAAGGAGTGCACCGAGATGCAAACTCGGGCTGCTGTGGCGAAAGCTGTGTCAGGCTCGACAGATAACCGGGCGTCTGAGGACCGCATCGCCAAGCTGGAGCACGAACTTGTGGTGCGTGACGCAGACCTACGCACCCGCGAGGACGAGGTTGCTGCGCTACGGACCAAGGTTGCTGTGGCGGAGGCGATAGCCGGGTTAGGCGATGATGCCAGTGACCGAATTGCTCGTCTCGAGCACACCCTGGTTGTGCGTGACGCAGACTTGCGCGCGCGAGACGAAGAGCTCGCGGACCTCCGGCTGATGCTTGCAGAAGCCGACGCACCGCCATGTTTTGATCGAAGCGTAGAGGTGGATGATCGTGTGGCCAAGCTTGAGCACGAGCTTGTTGTTCGCGAGGGAGACTTGCGTGCGCGCGAGGACGAGGTTGTGGGGCTCCGATCGCAGCTGGCAGTTGCCGAGGCTGTGTCGGCGACGACCGACAATGCGGCGTTTGAGTCGCGGATTGCGATGCTTGAGCAGCAGCTGGCATCATACCGGGGCGATCTGCGTGCGCGCGAGGACGAGATTGTGGTTCTGCGGGCCCAGGCCTCATCCGAGGCGGCGCCGAGCAAGTCGACCGACGTGGCAGTGTACGAGTCGCGGATTGCGATGCTTGAGCAACAGATCACGGCGCGCGAGGGAGACTTGCGTGCGCGCGAGGACGAGGTTGTGGGGCTGCGGTCGCAGCTGGCAGTTGCCGAGGCCGTGTCGGCGACGACCGACAATGCGGCGTTTGAGTCGCGGATTGCGATGCTTGAGCAGCAGCTGGCATCATGCCGGGGCGATCTGCGTGCGCGCGAGGACGAGGTTGTGGTTCTGCGGGCCCAGGCCTCATCCGAGGCGGCGCCGAGCAAGTCGACCGACGTGGCAGTGTACGAGTCGCGGATTGCGATGCTTGAGCAACAGATCACGGCGCGCGAGGGAGACTTGCGTGCGCGCGAGGACGAGGTTGTGGGGCTCCGATCGCAGCTGGCAGTTGCCGAGGCTGTGTCGGCGACGACCGACAATGCGGCGTTTGAGTCGCGGATTGCGATGCTTGAGCAGCAGCTGGCATCATGCCGGGGCGATCTGCGTGCGCGCGAGGACGAGGTTGTGGTTCTGCGGGCCCAGGCCTCATCCGAGGCGGCGCCGAGCAAGTCGACCGACGTGGCAGTGTACGAGTCGCGGATTGCGATGCTTGAGCAACAGCTCA